CAGAAATTTCCACACTTCCTACTAGCTAATTGAGTTGATAATTGCCCATTTGAATGTGTGCGGTTAGTTCTTGTTGCTGCAATTTGGAGGCAACCAAAAAGCTAAATTCAAAATTGCCAAACGTATCATTTAACTTTAACAAACAGAGCTAATTGGGTGCGTTTGTGTGGGTTAAATTCGTCTATTTTTCCGAATTGTGTGGTTATCCGCTCATTTAATGAATTTGCAATAATTTGGAAAAAGGTTGCCGTGTGCCATAATTTGCTGACTATCATTTTTGTATACTCTCGCACGCGGTACCATGACTTTGTTAACGGAGGCATATTCGACCCCTTACAGTCTACAGTTACATTTTTATCAGGACTACGAGATATGGTTTCTCTATCTGTCATTTTTCTCTCAGCTTAATGAAACTCATAGATAGATATATAGCATAAATATAGCGCACTTTTATTAAATATGTAGAAGCGTATTTAGACTTCGAGATCACGAATTGTTCTTTTATTTTTGATTGAGTATTTGCGAAAGTATTGAACGCTTTGTGATATGCTTTCAAGCCAGCTTATGCGATTTAGTTTTACTTTACGAATCGTTGCATATATCAACCGATATGTTCTCAATACACATTTTCTGCTCACTCAAAGGTCACAATCGTTGACTTATTTACGCTCGAACGCGTTGAAAAAATCGTTTTAAAATGAACGAACAGAAAATGTTGTTAAAGAAACTGGACGGTCGAATGTTTTCAAGCGGTAAATTCCCTTATAGCTTTGACTCAAATACATATACGCATAAGAATGTATTTGAATATGTATGAATACTTTGGCATGCAATTATAACATTTTCCTTAAGTTCAACTCTCGATTTGAGGTACATACATATGTGCTTCTATGTGCCTTTTACTAGACAGACAGAGTTTAGTGATTTTTGCTTAAGTATAATAGCCTAAAGTAGGGTTTCTGTGCTGCATTTAAATGTGCTGGCATCTTAATAAATCGGTTAAAATGTGCATTTCCACACATTTCTAGCCAATTAGTTGGCGGAGAGGAGCGGGTTTCGTTTTGATTGGTTGTTGTAATTTGCGTGCTAATTTCCAGAAGCACAAAACTTATGGCAAACAAACTATGCAAACATTTCAAGTCATTTCGTCAACATGCATTGCCACCGCAGGCAAAAAGGGAGAGTTGTAGGGAGAGAGGGATATATAAAGAACTAGCCTTGTATACATAGATTTGCATATCTTTTGATGCAGGCAGATGAAAGTGAAGAGTCGCAGCTCGACAAACCTCTTTGGGGTCTCTGACGAGTATTTGCGGGCTCAGCGAAGTGTGCCGTCACATCCTTGCCACATCCTTGTGCTTGCCTGCCTAAATGCCTCTAACTATTGGAATACAGCTATATGTATCAAAATCTTTCGACAGTTTGTTACCCGATGCTGCGGTTTCAACTCTCACATTTTGCTAAAGACGATGCGTAAGGCAAATCACGTTACGAGCCACCAAACGCGGCTTAGCTAAATTGGCAAGCAACACATTGGCTTAATCCCTAAATATTTAACACCTAATTGACATGCCTTAAATTTCAGTATGTACAAATATGTATGCGCGAAAATTAGCTCAGATTGGCTGATCATTCTGCTTACACGTATTCATTACATGAGCTCTCGCCGCATTGCAGCTCAATTCCAAAATGGCGGAAGGATAATTTGATTTTTGCAGTTGCATTTGCAAAATAAGAAAAGTTTGTGAAAGGTAAAATTGGATTGTGTTTATGTCGAAGCCAAGCCGAGCAGCAGACTCAGTACCTAAACAAGAAACCAAAACAAACCTGGACAGGCCGAAAGCAAGCAAAACGGGAGGGTTGAGTGGAGAGCAGAGGAAATAGCAGCTCCCATAGCCTATGCAAATAACATAGAATCACAATATGCACAACAAGTCGAGAACGATATACCCTGTTCCAAAGTACACAATAAGGCAAGACTGGAAAACTCATATGCTCTTTGCTTTTTCATCAATAGTGAGCAGTTGTCTCCTTGGTTAGAGAAGCAGCAGCATAGGATATATGATCAACTTTAATAACTCACAACGTACAAAAGAACCCTGTCTCGAGCCGGAGCCCAGACTCAATTGTACTGAATGTTTGTTTGAGGCTGATATTTGCTTCTCGAATAAGTAGCCAACTCGAAAATTGTAAATTGTAGTTGGCCACCCAAGCGGTCAAGCGGCAAAAGTTAGGCAACAATTAGAAGTTACACTGAGACAAATACTAAAGGTATAACGAGTATCACATTCAACATATGCATACTTTTAAAAAAGAAATGAAATCGAATATCAAAGACATTTGATTACAGTAAAAACAATAAATAAAATAGCTGACCTGAAAAAAATAATGTTTAATTACTATGAATACGCATATTATATGCCGATGTACGGTTAAAAGTGATTTAAAAAAGCTATTGGACTCATTGATTTTCTCAGTGTATATACTGTTGAGTATGGTATAACCATAGTTGCATTCACCTGGTGCCCACAAAGCGTAAAAGTGGTAGATGAGGACAACTGCATATAAATTTCAGATAATATGTCTGCTGTATATTCTGCTGCTCTTACTGCACCTGCCGCTGCATCTGTCCCTTCTCCTGTTCTTAGTGCTGTTCTTGGATATGTGCTGCTGTGTGCAACTGCCAATTAGAAGCTGGCAGGTCAGTGAGAGACATGTGACGGCTAGCTCGAAAATTTAGTTTTTACTCCACTTTCATTGAAAGCTACTGCAGGCAGATGAATACGTTGTCATAGCAGCCAATATCGTACAGCGGTTCCTGATGATGTTTCTCATGCCATCTCGTTGGCTGCTCCGGTTGGTGCAAAAGCTGATTGGGCCTAGAAGTGCGTTATAAGCGGGTTACGGCATTTTTATTATGCCCGAGCATAAAAAAGCGCATCGGTGTCAAAGGAGCAACGGAGCAAAGGAGCACAACGAAAGCAGCTGCCACTTCAAGATTTATGAGTCTCGTTTGAAAGGATGTTGCTTTATATTTTCATCAGCCAAAGACCAAAACTGAAATGATACTATTGTAATTTATTGCATTCATGGGGCACATCTATGTCTATCAGGACATGCATCTTTGACAGCCATTTTAGTCAATCAAACTGTAACTATCTATAAATCATCTTTACTTAAATATAAACAAGAAATACAAGTAATCTTTGGCAGCTTAAATATTATTTTATAGAATCCATGACTTATTGTTGTCATTTAATATATATATTAGAATATTTGGATATAAGTCGAAGTTTTTACATAGGCATGTTTAAGAGCTTCTACTTTTGCTTTTGTTGTTATTTTTTTGTAATTATTTATCAGCTCTACGAATTAGTAAAGCATTCTCGCATTTTAAATTAAAGTTTAAGATATATCTTTAATATATTCCCCTCTACCTGCAGTCAAGATTTCTGCTCGTATGAAAGAGTCAAATTTTAGCTTAAGCTCGTTGGTCCTTTTTGACATTCAATTAATATGCAAATTAATCTCGGCAACTCAACTGGCTGGGCCAAGCATTCCACATACGATAAGCCAAATTTAATCCATCTTCTCATCCGCTTAACCCTCTTACACTTTGGCATCGCAGCAAAGAATAAACAAAGTGCGGTGCATTAATGAAGGGTTTGCGGGTAGGTGTAGAAACCCAGCAGCAATGGAGAGAATAGAAATTAGAAAACCAGCTTGGTGATTCCGCCAACGTTCGCAGATTTCGTGCATAGTTTCAATTGCCTGCCACAAGCGGGGACTATTATTGTGCTGGCTGGTATCCTGGTGTCCTGGCATCTGGTTTGGTCTCGTCTGGTGTTGTCTGGTATGCCCCACAGGAATGCCCCACGGAATTTACGAGGCCCTCGAGATTAGTTTACTCTGTTGTTTGCTTTAATTGCAAGAAGAAGGCGTGGTCGTGTCGCCAAGTCAGCGGATTGCAGATTGTGTTCACCCAACGTGCCACGGCACTCATACGAACAAAACAAACCCCAGACAAACGAAAGTTGCCAGTGATATTCCATAGATTCCACATGGCGGTGTATGTGGGTATGATACAATTTCAGCCAAAACTATTCGCTTTGCCAATTGGTATTGCTGTACTGTAAATACTCATATTGCAACGCCAAGCCGAAATAAATACACTTATCGAGTTGCAGGGCATTCTCTCACATGCATAAATTCTGTTCAAGAGCTTTGGATTGAGCAGAGATGAGGTGGAGAGAGAGAGAGAGAGAAAGATATAGAGGATGAGAAGCAGAAGGAACGAGACGGAGGAGGAGAAGTCTCTGTTGGGGCATTTGGTGTATTTGTTTCCATTTTATATCTTATTTATTTCAATTTTTTGCCCATTCGTTTGCGACGTGTGTCGATGTGGCACATTTTATTGCAATGTTTTTTCTTTTATCCTCTGGGATGCAATTTTAAAATATTGCACACACTTCTCGTATCGTCCTTATAGCAGAGCTGAATAAGGCACAGATCCATTTATATTTTATATGTTACGTATTCGTTTTTGTCCTCGCCGGCATCTCCATCGCCATTGACTTGAGTGATTGTAATAAATTATTGCCAAGTTTATCAGGGCCAATGGAGCAGCAGCTCTAGTGTTTTCGCTTATCCATCTTAAAGTCTAAATTGAATCGGCGAGCTCCAGACATGCAAATGTGTTGAACATTGGATATGCAATAAACAAATGTTTGATTGAATTTCAAATATGCATATATAGTCAGAAAAGTACGTTAGCAACTTACAGTGGTAAAAGCTATAAACATTTTAAATACACAAATTAGTATTGTATTGGAGCATTCAACGATTCTTGTATTTCTTAAAACATTGGACAATTTAATCAAATTATCGAAATATGTTTCGAGTTCTATGACAAAAGCTTTTTATAAATATTTCGTCTTAAAAAGTGTGCGTTGCTTTTAACGATTGTCGTCGAATGCTGCTGGAAAGCTAAAGGGATATCATTTCGAAATCAGTCTCAAAGCTGATTACATCGCAAGAAAAATTTGAAAATAAATTTTTATTTAAAAATACGTGGAAAATACGAAATGCTGCATCACGCCAATTTACGTGGATCGCCCCAACAATTTGGACAGGTGAGTATTAAAAATGAAACTTACTGCTTTCGATGCGCACGGTTCTCCAACATCTTCCAGGGTCGCCGGATTCAAGTCGACAATGCGGCGAAGCTGGCAAACTACTATGAGCAGCTCAACGAGCGGCGCGACTGGTTGTTTAGCTTGGGCCTCATCGGCAGACGTGCTCACGACCTGGCGGTGCAGACACTCGAGCTGCCCGAGTTTAATTTGGATCACTTTCAACAGCGTGTGAATCGCCTCAGTTTGCAATTGGGTTCCAGTCGGCTGGCCGCAGTGGACGCCATTATCGTAGATGAAATCCGCGAGCTGATGAAACATCAAAGGACTCCGTCCTCGCCACGCGTCACCAACTTCAACTTGAGCTGTCGCAATACTTCTGATTATGATCAACGTACTGTGGACTTTCAGACTGATGACATTTACACGGATCATAGAATGTATTCCGCACCTGTGCGAGCTCTGGAACTGAGACGTCAAACATATGATGCGCATCGCGGAAGTCCACAAGTATATAATATAGAAGATGATCCACGCAATTTTGATGATGCCCCTCGGGTGGAGCAGAAAACTCAGTTTGTACCCTATTGGAACAATAACAATTATAATAACGTGGACCATTGTTGTGAGCACAACTTTGAAGATGCTTATAACATAGAAGCAGATTCGCGCAATATCGAAAATAACTTTCCTAAGCCGCAGGTGCACAATTTTATTGACTATTCCAGAAATAATCAGCACAAACATTCAAGCCAAAACAATGAAAACTATGCAGACCCTAATAAACATTATCGTCAACGTCCAAGCTTTAATCATGCTACCAATTTTAACCGAATGAAAATACAACGAAAATTACCAGAAGTCGGGAATTTTCAAATGAATTTTAACGAACAGTTCAAAAATGATTTCCGAGGACGCAAACGCGCCGCCCAACCAAACTATAAGCCAAATAACCACAGCGGACCTAAGAGGCGGAAAATGAACGAACCAAATCAAATATTTCGAATACGCGATTTTGAGATGCCTTACATTAAAAACGATACAAAACCGCTACCACAACCGGAGCACAAATCCTACGCCATCAAGTTCTTTCAACGTAAACACAATTATATTGTAGGTGGGGAGAAGGCTGCCTGCTCAGTGTTGCCAGTTGCAAATCCGATAAATCAACCACCAAACTATAGTTTCCTTGCAGCCAAACGCTTTCGGAAACATATTCGCGAGGATTGGAGTTCTATCTATCGAAGCATGAGTTACCGAAAGTGGGGAATTTGGTGGAAAGACTTTAAGTGGTGCGAAGCTGGCATTGATAAAGAGCTCGAACAGTTTAAGGGTATTAACTTGAGCAATATCTCATTTCTAAATCTTAAAGTCGATTTTGATACGTCCTTGGCTCAATTGTATTTGAAGATGAAGTCAACGAATTATTATTTCACAATGTGCGCTATTTTCGATATAATGAATGTACGTTTCTTGGAAAAATTAGATATGAAGGACACGGCCAAATTGGAACATATCATCCGTAACGTTCCGAATCATTTATGGACTTACAAGATGCGTGGCATGGTTTATTTGTGGTCTCGCTACAGCAAGATACGCACAAACAGCATTGACTCCAATAAGTTCTTCGCCACACAGATGCAGTGGAGCAGTCCCACATTCCACTGGTTAGCCAAACAGGCCTACGAAGAACTCAAGACAATAAGCCAAATCGAATGGCCTGAACACAACGAAACGTATGCATTGCTGTAGTAAACATCAAAAAAAGCGGACAAATTTCCGATGGGAACAAACATTTTTATTTAACAACCACTGCATAAAATATCAACACTTGACACAGTTTATTCATGGCCAAAACTAAATTTATTTATTATTTTCGCTCTGTTGGATTGAATCCAAAACATTTGCGAATAGTTTACTTTTCAATAAAATAAACTATGGAAACAGCTTTGGCTTTTTTTTTAACAGTATTTGAACATAGAAAGCAGCGGGGCTTATACGTGTTTTATCTCTTATCCATAAGGACACTGGAGGTATTATCTTTTTTCAATTCTGATTGCATCCTCTCACGCTTATAGCTGCCACTCCACTAGCAAAGGAGAAAAATAGCGCATTTTTATATTCCAAGATTTTTTTTTTTGCAGCTCTTGCATAGAGTTGTTTAATTTGTTATCGCAGAGTGCACCTGAGCCTTAGCTCTAGACTGGTGGTTGAGCCAGAGGATGGCGAAAACAAGCAGAGTAGGAAGGCCCAAGGCAAATGAATAAACCAAAGGCAAAAAAATGGCGACAAAAAATTGCGAAACGTTGTTGCATATTAATCCAACAGAGTATTTCACTCAGCGGGTGCTTTAACCGCAGCCAGGCAGTCAGCCAAGCCCAGCAGGCAGTGGAGCGGGTCCCAGGAAAGGACACGCTTCGCGCAGCGACCACGAAAGACATTTATTGTATCCTTAACGCGCTTGACAGACGAGCGCTGAGACGATGATGAATTTGTCGACGCCATCGCGTGTACTAAGTAAAAAAAAACTCAGTCAAAATGTTCGCCAATGTGACTTGGTCAAAGTGAGGGTGGTGTGGTGGAAGTTCGCAAACTGCTGGGAATAGGGCAGCAAGCCAGAAAGACACCAAGTGACGAAAAAATGCAAATAAAATGCCAGCTTATTGAGTCAGCGATGGGGCTGAGTGGAGGACAGTTGGGAGGAGGACATGAGTAGCTGCTCTTTAGTTGATTGAAAAAGGTGATGCCAAGGTTTTCTATACCCAGCTAAAAATATACTACGGGTGTATGTACATATTACATTAATATATCAATTCAGATATATTCACAGCTGTGCTCTAGTATTAGTTCGCGCTTCATGCTATGTTTTGATAATGATTGCTTTAATAGGGTATCGAAGAGCTTCAAAAGCATTGCAGGTAAAGGGGAGTGTCTGAAAGTCGGGCATTCTTGTTGCTGAAAGGTAGCTTTTATTTAATGCCCTTTCAACAATTTGGTCGCCTTGTTGAGTAACATTTTGAAAGCAGTCTGAAATTTGAGGTGCTTTTGAAATAAGTGGGCTGCATTTATTTATATTTACGTACATAAGCTTGTACGACAATCAATTGGAAGTGTAGCAAACCTATTAATATAAAGACTGAAATTTATTGTAATCAAAACTCTGCACCAAAAATATATAAACTTTTCAAAATTACTATCGAACTGAATTTAAAAAATAAATAACCAAACATCATATTATAGAGTGAACAGAAAAAAGTGCCTTAACAATCGCACACACTCAGTTATTCTGGTGGGTGTATGTTATCTGCTTGGAGGACTTTTATCAGGCATTTTGTGGGCGTGTTTGCATAATGCCAACGCTATAATATGTAATTTAAAATTGTATCCTCGGGCATTTAGCTTATGACTGGAGATTCCGAAGCGACTCCAGTGAACTGCAAATGAAAAATCTGAAAATCAGCTTATTGCTAACACAGCCAAAGGATATTTTATGTTAGCAGTGTGGCTGAAAGATGTACTTATTTTCGTCTGGCTGTGCCAAAAACACCTACAACATGTTTGTATCAATTAAAATTCAATTAAAATCGTGCTCGCACGTGTTACTCCCAAGCGCTCAGTCATAATTTAAATTTACCTTAATTTGAATTACGCCAATTCCTCCCCCCTTACAATTGTTCACCACACCCACATAAGCAGCAGGCAACGAAGGTACACATAATTGGTAATGCACTCTCACCTGAATATTTTGGCACTAATTGGAAACTGTAAATCAGATTAACAGGAACATTTCATGACTCACATTAAAATTGCGTTTAAATTTGCTGTGATTTGGTTCCCTGCTGCCTTCCCTGCTCTTATTTTAATAAAATAAGAAAAAAATGTAGTTGTGCACAAATATAAAAAATGATTAAATACAATATTGATTAGTTGGCCTTCAATTGCTAATTCAATTTGTTTAACGATAAGAAAGGGAAAGAGGAATTATTATTAAGACTTTATACAGTAGACTTTACTGCAGTAAGTAGGAAGGCTGATAATAGTAATACAATTTAGACGACGTTGTACATTTTAATTGTGAGACTATATGCAAGATTTAATTTCAAGAATATGACTCACAACTGCCATTTAAGACTCTTTAGTATCGCTAGGATGGTCAAATTCTTTCAACCAACGCTTGACAAACCCAGGCTCGATTGGTTTTATCAATAATTGTAATTCAGTGTGCGAAATACATTATATATACCAAAGATTTAGCAAATATACGACACTACTTTAAGAAGTCAAATACTTGAACTTCTTAACATTATAATAATTTTTCGAGCTATGCCACCTCATGGTCTTTACGTACTTGCTAAAACACCAAGCCCAAATAACCACTTCCTTGTACCATATCAGGCATAAAGTTTCATTTATGGATTCAAAGGAATAAGTTAAATATTTTTATAATTCTTGTATTTGGTGTCAAAATACGGATATCCACTTTCGTATTTGTTGTTTAGTCAAATGTAAAATATAAAATATAGAGGAAAAATCATGATATTATATTTGTCTAAATAATAAATCCCTAATTTGAAACCTGCATGTGGCCACAAAATCAACTGTGAGGCTAAATGCAATTTTAATAGAAAATCTAGAACAATTTGTTGGCGATATAACTCTTAACATATAAAAGCAAATGTTTGCACATTGCAAAAAATGCCATTTGAAAATATTTTACGCATCGTGGCGGAAACATCCGTGAAGGGAAATGCAAACACTATTGCTTTGGCAACATTTATTACAACAGTTGCAAGTGCAATATTTGCAAAAATGCACTATATATTCTACAAATTAAATGCAATGAAATTTGGCCATTAAACCGAACACTCACATGCAAGACGACAGATATTTATTTTTTGCGCTTGACAGCATTTTGAGCATTTTCAAACATTTTCCCCTCAATTACCCACAATGCATTACTGATATATCGCATCACAAATTGCATTTGAGATTTTTAATTATACAATAAATTTTGAGCTAAATGTCAATGTTCAATTTTCCGACAAGTCTCCACCTTGTTGACCAAAGTTTCATTTACCGATTCCTCCTCTTTCAGTCACATAGTGTTGCATTAAGGTGACTCTTGACATTGCTTTTGTTGCCTGTCTCATCCTCTCTGTCTGTGTGGGTAATTTCATTATGAGTTTTATGACTTTTAATTAATTTTCAAAAGTGCACAGCTTTACACCAGACTGCAGGGAGTTGGTACTCTGTGTGTTGGCAGGTCGTCTGGCTGGCTGACTGGCCGGCTGGCTGGAAGGCCGGAAGTGTGCCATAATTTCCGCACTAAACTTGATGTTGGCCAGCTCATCTGCAATTCGAATGGAAAGTTCTAGAGCGTTGTCTGTGGAATTCGTTGAACAGCTGTAGAACCGGCATCAAAAACATTCAATTAATTTTCCACACACAAATGGCAACTTTTCAGTTTTCATCAGCTAAGCGGCCAAATGTTCATCCTAAACCGAAATCACCAGGAAATGATAAGGGTTAATTGTTTACCAATTTTAAACCCGAAAATATCTATATCGAACCGAGTTTTAGTTTTCAAATAACAATCACGGAAGCTTATGAGTTTAGTTTATAGCAAGCAAGCGTTGTAAAAAATTATGGTTTCATCAAAATTTATTAAGTCGTATATCAAAGTCTTTAGAGATTCTAGAGAGTTTCCAATTCTGAGTAACAATAATCTTTGAGACACTTCAAGACACCGCTTGAATATGTCCGCCGAAGTGGAGGAGATGCTGAAACGATTCCAGAACGTTAAGAACGTCGTGGGCATCCTTGTTGTGGATAATGATGGCATAGTCATCAAATCAACGTTGGACAACCAAACAGCAGTTCATTACGCTGGCATCATGCGTACGCTTACGGAGAAAGCGCGTCAGGTGATCCTAGATTTGGATGCCACCAACGAATTTACATCCATGCGCATGCGCACAAGCTATTTCGAGATAATACTCATGCCGCAAGATAATTACATCATTGTCGTTATACAGAACCCATGTGATTAAGGGGAGCAGCCATTTATTTAAAATCGTATTTTATTGTTCTGTCCAAATGATGTCTTAGAAGAATAAATGTGAACGTTGTGATGTGCAATAATATATTTATTGAATTAGCTTTTCAAGCAAGTTTTTTCCTTGATTATTGTATATGCAAATCAAATCTAGAGAGAAAATTCACGCTAAATTTATATAATCAGTATTCCCATTCAATTAATGTAAATATTTGAATTGAGATCCGAATTGTATCAAATTGACATTAAAATAACTTGATTGTAGTTACTCTGCTCCTGTCCCAATTCCAGAATCCAGCTCCGTCCCTAGTCTGTCCAAACTCATTTATAATAAATGAAGACTGACTGAAACAGTCGCGAAGCAAATAACCTTTTTATGGCTCAGCAGCAAAAGAGACTGGTTATCCTCGTCCTGGTACTCATATTTCGAAGAGGGGTGAGCTATTTTTAATTTAATTAAGTATTAAACACGCAAAATGCATTATGTATGAATATGCTTACAAAGAAATGAGTATGCTCGTATGCAGTTTAGTATATATATATAGGTGTACTCATACTTTTACATATAATGTTATCTATTTGCGTTGGGCTACGCAGGAAGCATAACCAACTGAAGACACATACGTGATTGACGTGTCTGTTATTCACTGTCCCCTTTGCCAGACTCATCTCCAGTTCTCCGTTTAATGACAACTATTCGAGCGAGTATAAATTTCAAACCACGTGAAAATTAAAGCAAATTATGACCAGTTTGTCAAATTTTATATCGTCACAATTGAGTCTTGTGATTTGCTTAAATATCTCTATAAATGACCAACATATTCTTTCCCTCGGTTGGCTAGGAATAGAGGCTTACTTAAGATTGCATATCCACATCTAAATATTCGCTATCAATTTTAAATGCCAAGTGATCAAATATTGTCGACCTATTTTGATAGAAATATAACCTTTTTCAAACTTTGAGTTAAAAAAATATTATTTTATTATTTTACAAATTCTAGTTACTGATCAAGTACTTTTTTATAATATCTGCAAGCTGTGATGGTAAATATGATTTGCACGACTGAAAGCAAATAAAAAAAATGTAAGTAAACAATTGTAGTGCTTGACAGAGATATACCCTGTGTCCATGTAAAACCTTAGAGGCACAAAAACACTTGACAGTAATAATTTTATATTGCCTACAATTTGAAAAATCGTGTTTTTTTTGTAATAAAAAATTGTAAATCGAGAAGATAAACGGACTTATGGAGATCTACTTGGCTGCTAATGCTGTTCAAGATTAAACATTATGGGTTTTTAGTCGGAGAATTTTTCTCTTGTAAGCTATATCTATATGCACTTATCCCTTATGGACACGGGGTATTGAATCAAGATTCAATTATTTGCCTTACTTGGTAGATAAATTAGCTGAAACAAAAAGTAGGGCAGAAACGAGCTTGTGATGATGCCAGCAAGGAATATGTTTGGCATACTCTGAAAAAAAGGTGAATTAACATTGTGCGAATAAATACCACAGAATTAAGCACCTACTTTAAAAACGCCCAATAGTAGCAAGATCCCAGCTATAGTATGCAGGAAGCAAATTATTACGAACGCGACAAACGCAGTAGCATCGACTTCTGAACTGGTAATACCGCTTACTACTCCAAATAATATGCCATGTACTAACGTCCACACACCAAGAAATATTGCTTTTACTCTTAGAGAGCAACAAACCTCATCCAAACATTGAGCAGACTCGCACATGCACATGTTAAATTTGAATAATGTAAATTTTACGAGAAACTTGACAACTGTTTTTGATAAATTTTCAATGCTAAATGAATATCTTAAAATATATGTTTGACTGTAACATTATTGAATACTGAGACATTTCATTTCTGGGGTTCACATAACTTTTTATTCACTTAAGTACTTTGGAATAATATCTGCATGAGCATATGGTGAATATTACTTGAACGACTGAAAAAAAGAGAAAAAAAACATACAGAAAACAAAAAAATAAATATATTAATATATATAATATAGTCGAGCTCTCTCGACTACGAGATAAACTGTACCCAGATAAATATAAGTTGAGCTCTTTTCGTTTTTTACTTTCTAACTTAAACTATCGTGATTAAAGTTAATAGATTACTGCAGATGTGTTGTACACTTTGATACGGAAGAGGTAAGGGTATATAGGTTTTGTGTCCATTCGTTGAAATTCTGAACTCGCCTGAGTACCGCGACAGACAAAGTGTTACAATTTTGGTGCTACTACATCCACTGGGAGGATCGAAAATTGTTATTCGATAAAACCGCATAACTCTTTAAAATTGTAAAGATAGAGGTGAGTATCTTATTGGCGACATGCAGTGATCAAATGTGGAACGTATATTCCAAGAAACGTCACGTAATTGTTAATTTGTTGCAAGTATTAAATAACAAAAATTACAATTAATTAGATTAAAAAAAAAAATTGAAAATAGGGCAGACAAACAGACAGACGAAAGTAGATTAAATAATATTACTTCTGGCATATAATTTTGTTCTCCCCACCTAATAAGTACAGCGTATTAGAAGACATTTTTAAATTGCTCACCTGGTAAATAAAATGTAAAGAAATAAATATAAGGCACAAGCGAGCTTAGTACGATTCCAACTAGAAAGATCATCGCCTTAGACTGATAAAAGAAAGTTGAATTAAAGTGAAGTGCATAAGTACCATAATCTTACGAACTTACTTTTAAAACGCCCACTAGCAGCAATATGCCTGCTATGATATGGATGACGAAAAGCATTGCGCCTAAGATTAGCACACCAAGATATACAGTCCTCAAGTAGAGTAGCGTTCCCATTGGGAGTAATATACCATGCGCTAAAGTCCACATACCAAGAAATAATGCTTTACCTTTCAGAGAGCAAAAAGTCTCATCCATACATTGGCAAGATTCGCACAAGCACATTTTAAATTTAATTTATACCGAAACAAATAAAAGTAAAATATTTAACTGTTAACTGCGTACGATGAATTTTCGTTACTCAAAACAAATTTTAAAGTTTGTAAAACTTATATTTGCTGCCTGAAATAAAAATGTTTACTGAGTTTTTTACATACTGCTAGTCTAGTTTTAACACATTATTGTTTGTTGACTACATCATTTAAAAAAAAATTGAATTAATTGATCAAAGTGTTAGCTTGAGTTTTGATTTTAAAATTAATTTAAGCTGGATATACTGCAATTAAATATAACAATTTCTAATAGTATATTAATCTACGAATATATTGTAAAACTAATCAAGATTTAAATGCAGACGAATGAAAATGTCTAGCAACCTTTGTACGGAGTATCTTAGGCTGGTGAAATATTTCAGTTTGTCGCTCGATTCTTTTGGCTGTCAACATGTCAAAATTTATTATACATCCGTTTTTCGCAATCACATAACAATTGGATTCTAGTTCCTCTGTGCAGTTGTTCGTAACTGGGCAGAAGATATGTATCCGCGCACTCCACTCTGGATGCGCACACTCCAAAAACCGCACCTCACTCATTAATCCATCAATCACTACACAATAAACATCATGGCCGGAATACACTCACCAGAACAGCTCCGAAAAATGCGACAGATATTCCTACAGTTCGATCAATGCGGCGATTGCAACATTTCGCACTCGCAACTGGGCGAATGTCTTCGCGTACTGGGCTCCAATCCTAGTGAGGCGAGCATACGTCAGTACATTCGGGAGTTGATTGCATCCTGTTACGAACGAGTTTCCTTTGACGAATTTTTGCCAATTTATGATTGCATCATGTCACGGTCTACAGCTCATCAGTTTGGAGCAGACACTGCCTTCAATAACGAACAGTTTAAATCCGGTTTGCGCTTTTTCGATGAGCATAAGACTGGATATATATCAGCAGACAGGCTCCGACGTGTCCTAACAACGAGTGGTGAACGTCTTACCGAAGTGGAGGTGAACGATTTATTGGAAAATCATGTGAATGATCAGGATTTGGTGAACTATGAGGAGTTCGTGAATGCAATCACCAAGAGCTAAATACATTTACTCACTGAATATATTTACTCACCTGACCAAATACTACGTAGCATAATAAATTACATGCAGCGAGAGCTTTTGACGTAAGCCAGGTGTTTGTTATAAGCCCATTTATAGAGTAATATTCGTACATGCTTTCAAAAGTGGAGAGAAATGACCACTATGCTTGTTAAGCGTAACTATGATTATCAGGTGACAATGATTTTTAGCCATATTACACAACGGACAGGGAGAATTGAATTGAATTGCATAACATTTCATTTAGATGACAACTGCAGGTTGACCTAATTTTTATAATAATTCAGTTGTCGTGTGGCGTATCGCTTCTGTTGAGCATTCTATGTACTATGTTCATGACAATTTCAAAAATGGTTAAAGCGTCGGACGACTGTGAGGTAAGTATAATAAACAGTAGTAGCAGTAGTTAGTATTGTTCGAAACTGGCCGCTGGTTGAATGCAATGATTTGCAAATCAGTTCGCTTGCATAATGACGCAGCATGCAATCGGTCGCATTTAGCCATGGTTAAGCGACTTGCATTTTGACAGGAGTAACTGCTGCAATGCCCATAAATGCAAAACATTTCGATGGAATTTGACTTTGAGCCCGCACATGATTCTCTGTCATCTGTGCAATGGGCTAGGGCAACATATGGAAATGTTGTCAAAAATATTACAATATTTGGCATGTTTCAGACACAATTCCAATTCAGAACTTTTGTTCGTGTAAAGTTGCAGTCAGAAATCCAAATCAACTTCCATAAAGAAAAATATTTTGTAACAACAAAAATATTTTGAAAAAATGTAATATCAAGCGAACATGAATTCGGTTATCTTCAGTGTTAGCCCAAAAAAGATGACGTTCTATGCGCCCTACGATCGCACGCAAAGACGTTTAATCACCGTTATGAATCCCACCGATAACAGGCTGTTCTTCAAGATACGGTCGAATGCGCCATGTGAATATAATGCTAGTCCAAACTGTGGATGCATTGAGCCCTATGACTTCGTTGAGATCAATATCAGTCTCCACTCTTTTAATTTCCATAAGGATCTGGATTACAGCCATCGGTTCTCTGTTCAATGCATTCGATCGCCGCCAGCAGAACAAAGTCTCAACCAATCTATTCGGAGCATTTTTAAACAAATGCATCGCTCGGAAATAAAAAGCGTACCAGTGCCCGTTGACTTGCTGCCGGATCCCATACTCTTATCACAGGATGAACTGGACAACCTGTTGCAGCACAATGTGCAAAACAGGCAATGGAAATCGCGACTAATGTGTATCGACTATATTAATACTTTGGACCAACTGCCAATGCCCCATAAACAAAAGAAACGATGCAAATGGACCCGCTTTCTAATGTCATTGCTCATCATCATATCTTGTCTGGCAGGTGGTAAGCTGAAAGTAATTGCAAACTAAAATTAATTATGACATATTGGCATCGATGAAAAAAGCATTCAATACAAAGGCCCAAAAGCAAAAATAAATTTGCCTGGCTCAGCTTTTAATGATCTTCATATCAAAGAAATAAACTATCTTTACTAAAGCTTAATTGATTAGAATTAGAATAATTTGTAATATGATTTTCCAGATTTAGCTAATATCAATATTTGCCATATCTCGATATTTTATATTTAATAGTGTTATTTGCTTAATGATATGCAATCTCCTAACATTTTTTGATTTTGATACTCATTTGTACTTCACTTTTCAATATATTCGTTGTTTGCCTTTTGCAGCTTATGTGCACCGCCTGCATATTGAGGACGATTTACATATGCATATTAAAATGGATAATATTCAGTTCTAGCTGATACAGGAAAACAACTCAATGAATCACTCCAATTGACACAAACCTAATTTACATTTAAATTTGTTGTTGTTCATATCAAATACTCAATAAACAACCATTGTAATTCTTGAAATTGCATTTCACACCGTTTAAAATGGTAAAATTAAAAAATAATATCTAATTATAGACATTTTAAGGGGTCAAAGCCCACGACAAAGATCTTAGTCATGCCCCTGATACACAGCACAGTAATCACATGGCCAATTGATGCCCAAAAGGCCAGCTTTCGGTACTCACACCATAAAGGGCGTAGCTGCATTTAATTGCAGGGCACACGTTGATTAGGCGTTTCGCCAGAGTTTCGAATTTAGTGTCGGCCACAAAACGACAAACAGCAGGACCACAGGACGACCAAAACATAACCACAGCCACGACAATAACAACAATCGCAAAAATATTGGCGAATATGAACTGCACTTGATTTGCAAATGACCTGGTTAGCCTCGATTTAATCATACCTTAAATCATTTAATTGCCATTAGAGCAATTAAAGCCACTACACTGAAACCAAATCCTTGTGGTGGTAAATCGGAGTCCTGGGCATGTTTATGTGTATGGATTTTAATAATTAAGTGGTATTTACGAATTTGTATGATTATGGTGTTTATAAGAATTCTGTGTTTACATATAAGGTTAGTGGTATAAGCAGAAAAGTAAAATTTGAATTAGATGCGTGTGATGCCTGGTCAACATAAGCCAGAAATGTTTGCAGGGCAACGAACACCCATCAAGGAGTAATTCTGTTCGAAACTCAGTAATAATAATATGAATGACTGAATTGCCAGATAGGTATGTATAATGTTCAGTATTGCTCGAACTTGACTACTTTAAAAATTGTAATTAGTTCAGCAAATACCCAACAGCGGAAGCCTAGATAAGCGCAGGCAATAAGTTAAATATTTAATGACTACTTCAGAAATTATGGGAGTTGAACTGGAAATGCTTTTGCCTATAAAAAGAGACATTGGCTGGCACTACTTCAAGTTTAACATAAACCGTACTCTGAAATGTTTGACAGTCTCTTTTTGCTGCTCACATCAGTTGGTTTGCTGTCTGCGGCTCCTTCCCATTCCAATAGTCTGGGCCAAATGACTGTGGATGGTGGGAGGATCATTGGAGGTGTCGAGATATCCATCGAGAAAGCGCCCTGGCAAGTATCCCTGGAACTGAACGGCTATAACTGGTGCGGTGGTGTCATCTATAGCAAGAATATTATTATAACTGCTGCCCACTGTGCCTATGATAAGTTGCCAAACGACCTTTCAGTGCGTGCTGGCGCCACCACCCACAACTTAGGTGGCTCAGTGGTTGGAGTGTCTGCCATCTCATTGCATGAGCAGTATGATAATATAATTGCAACAAATGATATAGCCTTGCTGCTGTTAAGCTCGCCCCTTCGGCTGAGCAAGTTCGTGCAAGTCATTCCACTGGCCACAGAGGAGCCTAGCATTGGATCCACAGCCAGCGTTTCCGGTTGGGGTTACACTAACGGGCCGACATCCAATCGTTTGAGGAGCGTTAATGTTGATATTGTGGCACGCGCCGAGTGCTTAAAGGTGTACGGTGAGAAAGTATTCATTCGGACATCGATCTGTGCAAGTGCTCCTGGCAAGGATGCATGCGTAGGTGATTCTGGAGGTCCTCTGGTGTACCAGGGCCAATTGGTCGGCATTGTTTCCCATGGCAAGGGCTGTGCCCTTTCAACATATCCGGGTGTATATGCAAATGTCCCCACACTGAATAAGTGGATTTTACGGACCGCTTCTGTTCTACATCAAGACGAAGAAATGTAAAAATTGTTACCAGCTTGTTATAAGTCAATAAGTCTGAATAATATTGCTACATGCTTTCTTCCTTTTAATAAAAATTGCAATCTTAAATGCCAATTCTTATTTTTAATTATTATATATAGATACAGATAAATTAGTAACGCTTGGAAAACTGAAACTTTTCTTCTTGTTGCACACTGGAAAAGCTTGAGCTATAAAACAGTAAAGTTTGTAGCAAAGCCAACTAATGTGCCGCTAAAATTTGCAAACAACTCTAATGAAAATGGCAAAGGGCAATGTGTAAGGGTTAGTGCTCAGATTTGAACAACTGCTGTAACCATAAAGCACAACCATCAATTTGAGAACAACAAGTATTAAAGCTTGGAGAAATGAGGAGACGAGGGGTTAAGAGGCGCCCAATTCATTTAACGATTAATGACTCACCGCACAACAAATGCGAATGTGAGCGTAAAAATAGCTAATCTTGCTGCCATAAAATCAAGAACTTATTATATCGCACTTCTGTCCGACCGATTGAATTGCCCACAACTCAATCAGATCGATTGATATGCGATACACAATATGGAGATGGAAAAACCACAGCATTGACAATTAGTCGCACATGGCGTATGAGAAATGCTTTGTGTTTTTTTTGTGTTTCTTTGTGGAAAAGTTCTCACAGAGGCTTATCAAGTATTTCAACCTTTGAGACCACGCTGAGTTCAACCATTTGCATGGCGTGCTCTTAATCCATTAATCGATTTTTATGCGTTTCCATCCGCCTTTCATCGGGCTGGCACAGCTGCAGTTCCGTAGCCTTGCACTCGTAACCCATTTGTACGCAATGGTTTTTTTTATATTTTTATTTTTTGTTAACACCAGGTTACATTTCATGCTGTCACCAATACTTTCGACTTATTGCGGACCAAACAAACCCGACCCTTTCGCCTCGCAACATAGAGTCGAGTAAACAATGTCTCCATCTCCGTTGTCGACTTTTCAACAAGAAAAATGCAACATGGGCTTCATTTACGTAGCAAACAGAATCTTTGGTTGCATAAAGTAAATCTAGCAGTTGCATTCCTAGCCCTGACCCGTCTGCCCACGAGCTCACTCACTTTGACAGGCTCAAAGGTCTTCCCCTGCGTGGGTTTGCATTTCCGTTGATTTTTAATGAGAGTTCCAACGTAAAGATAAACAAATTATAGTATGTTATGATATCAAAAGAGCCTAGCTAAAGCAAGAGTACTCTACTTAAGAGTCACAGACTAACAGCAGGCATATCCCCTTCTTGGAATAGCCTTGACGTTAACCAACTTAACTAATGTGAATTTTCTTTCAATTCATGACAGCTCCCATTGCGAGGACATTCTTTTTATATATAACGATGTCATGCGTATTGCGAACTAGTCGCAGTAAGGGATACAAATTATCGCTTAGTATATATTTTAAATTTCATAGAATACACAACACCAAATACATACATACATATATACCCATTGGGTGTATGAGGGACAAAGGCTTTTAATATATTTCCTGATGCAAATTTAAATAGAAAAAATAAGAAATCAATTTTAGAAAAAGCAACTTAAAATTTATATTCAAAATCATGTCGAACTTTAAAATGTTTAAATGTTTCCTTGGATTTAATTTAAATAAGTAGTGGAGAACTCCACAGAATATCAAATATTTTTGATATTGTACAAAGCGCAGCACTTTGGCCCCAACTGCGTATGGCAGCAAAGCCAACCAATTATAAGAAAAACTGAAAATCTAACAAACAAAATGAAAATGCACAAAAGTTATTGACATTTTAATTTGGTTCGATGGCCGCGACAACCAATTTAGCAAAATATCGCATGTGTATAGTTTACTTAATTTTTACACTCAACTTAACAAAATTTAGGAGCATTAGGCAATGTGTACACCAACATTCGCACTAGTAACGTTTTTTTGAGACGTGACTGTAACAACGATCAGCCTCTAAGCACACATGTAAACAGCTGATCGATAATGATTCGTCAGCGGAACCATTCACATCCGTTTGTGACCTAACTAGCAACTCTAATCAGTGACCTAATTAGCAACTATAATCAGTGACCTAATTAGCAACTCTGACTCAGAGCATCTGTGCGACGCCTACACTAGTTGGTCAGTTCGAGCGCGACAAGCGTTTTGCCGATAACAATTAAGGCGGATCAGTGCAGAAGTCTCGGACGCAAACGTCTTACATCTTATTGGCATAAAGTGCACCAACTTGCGCAAGTATCGGATCATATGTGAGCGGCAGTTGGCCGAATCATCCCGAAGAAATAGTTACCGAACTGCAAGACTTCGATTATTTAGGACTGAACTCTACAAGGCCATACACAACAATTTAGTTGAACTGTAGGTTAAATTAACATGGAATGAATTTGTGAAGAATTAATATTTAATTTTATAATGCGTTAACTAAACTGGTATGGTACATATATGTAAGATCAGCTTTTATATTGTCTAATCTGTTTTAAAGTTCAAACAGCAACGTAATCCGGCTTCAGGCCTGTCGACTACTAACACAGCTGTTTTTAGTGCAGTAAGTACGGCGTAACCGCGACCGCGAGTTATAAAGAAAATAACCAACCAATAATGACCATATACCAGATGTGACATACAAAGACATATATAAATACCTGCCTGGCTTAGTTAACTCAAATTACATACATAAATATATATATATATAGCCAAGTGCCTTTGTAGCATAAGTTTATAATTGAATATTATTTGATTCAAATTGAAGAAAAAGAAATAGAATGAATTATTAGTAATTAAGTAAGACTCCCAAACATGAAACTTGAAAACTAGTAATTAAGTAAAACTCCTAAAATTAATGTTAAAAATTATACCTTTATTACAAAGTATATAAGGAATTAATTATGGTTTAAAATAGTTGAATGGGCTCCTGAGATAAGTATGGTTTTGCATCTTTACTAGAGTAAAGGCACCGCATATTAGTCTATACAGATTGGGCGGGTAAAAGAAGAAGAACATCATCTCTATTATTCGATCTAATATATCACTAGTGGATTATGTTAGCTATTCTGTCTGGTTGTTTTATTCCGTTCCTTTAGCACTCCGGCAGCTTACTAGTTACCAAAAGCACCCACCCCATTTTCCGTGAGCAGTCGACCCTTTAGGCAGAGTACGCCTCCAGTTTGCTGCACACTTCAACGTGTTCGTTACAAGACATGTCATATTAGATATATCAAATCAGTTGTATTTTACATAAGTGTTCTCAAGAGCATCAAATCAAGACATATATTCAAAGCTGGGTACTTGCATTCACTTAAATTGTTTTCAAATCGAATTTAAGTTAAAGAACAAGAATACATTTGTGTGTATATAATACTTTCTTCTACCTTGATAACACCTGCGAGTGTACGGTTGCGGCACAGTTAAGCAAGTTCATTAAGTTAGTTAGTTAATTAAAATGCAAACGGACCGACTGATCAAAGTGCCAGAGATAGGTAGGAGGATTGAGGTTGGTGGCGGGGTGGAGCTTAAGTATAGAGGACAGCCGCATAATGCCAAAATCAGTAAACACCGCAAGCACACAAACCAGATGTCGAGGTCATGTCCGGTGCCAAAATCAGGATTGCAGTGCCTGCAACATATGTCAATTAATTTCGAGCAGCTTCTGTCCAACTGCACTTGCGGTTGTCAATTGACATCAAATGGGCGTGGGCGCCCAGAAATAGTGGCTAGTGCTGTTGGAATACTCTTACCGTTGTTGACTTCGTTGCCAAATTTATTGAAGGACATCAATTGTCAAGCATTTAAATACATACCTTTAAATCAAAAGCTTGGCGGATAATGAGCCTGTGCAAGGCTAATCAACAGCAGCGCCATGACCCCTCCCACAATTTGAATATGTTGTGTGCATGTAATTGGAATAGCAATTCCCCCTTTTGCCTCATTCACACTTCGACTTCTTTGCAGTAATTAAAAAATAATTTAATAATTACATTACTAACCTAACTTACTTTGGCTAAAGTTTTATATGTTTAAAGTTCTATACTTGCACCTTGCGCCTTGCCACTCCTTCGCTAACGCGGCGAGCCTCCCTTGCCCAATTGTTGACTCTAGCAAAAATTATAATTATTAAAAGCAGCATCAGAGGCAGCCCTCCATCTGCAACAGTCACAAACATAGAAATTTCATTCTGTTTTATTTTCTTGTTTTCTTTTGTTTTTAGGTTGTGTAAAGCTCATTGTTGTTATTGTTGTTGCATTTGCTTTGGTCGCTGCAGCAATTTGGGGTGCCCCAAAGGTGCGCAACTTTTTAATGCAGTTTGTGGTGCGCTTACTTTGAGAGGCGAAAGTACACGTCGAATATTACATTCCCTATTGGTATCTAAATTTTGGTGTGTTGTTAGAAATATTGTTATATTTTGTGACGATTTATGTTTTCTCCATAAAACTTGCTGCAAATTGAATGTTCTATAATCTTGTAGTTATATTGAAACAGAAGGTGTGTTAGGCATAACTTATATCTATCCCACAATTTAAGTTTTCTTTTAAAATGTATAAGCATTAATTAAAAAATAATATTATATATAAAATACAAAATAAAAACATTCTGAATACTTTCTTAACAATCATTCTCCTTGGATGTCGATGATATGGTGTTGATTTTAATTCGTACATACTTACAAAAATGCAAGCTTTAAGAATACAAACGTGCAACACACACAACACACAGACACAACCATAGTGCGTGTGTTCCCGTTTCTTGTTTTGTATAATCGATGTTGCCATGCGCACTTTTAGCCTACTAGTTCAGTTACGTTTAAACTTCTTATAGTCGTCGTTTGCAGATTACCTACACTTATCCATGCCATTTAAAATTTCCGCTTGACAAGTAATTATCATTCTTATCCAGATTCAAGCAGTTTGGTAAATTGACTGGAGTCATAAATTTAATAAGATACTTTAAACAACATTTCAAATGATGATCCCTATTAAATGTTTTGATATCTTGAGGTATTTGTTGGGTTTACATCCAGTTTAAAATTTCTCAGATACGTCAACTTGAATGCGTGTGTAATAGGGTCTGTTTCTTTTTTGCCGTTTTGTTTAGCTCATATTTAAAACATTTAGACCATTTTGTATATAGTGTGTGTGACTTAGGCTGGCTGATGCTTGTGTGTGTAAGCCTATAAGAAAAAGCGGCATGGAAAGGATACCACCACTGTCTACGACAGCAGACTACTACAATTTACAAGGGCACTTATTTGTCTGATAGATTTCTTGAATTATTAATGCAGTCCAATTGTCAGAACTAAAAGAAATCTGCTTCTATTTGCTTCTTATTCTTTTGGGACTAAAATAGAACTCATTCTAAGAAAGGCGTATTCAAGGGTAAGCTTCACATCACCACTTTACATAGACGTAAAGTGATTTACATTTAATTTGATGAGAAATTTGGAAGTCGGCCCTCATAGACCGGTTTAAGTTCTTGTTAAAATTAGACAAAATTTAATGAAGGAATATCACGTAAGCTCGGAACAGTATTCAACTGGTGCCACAAATCTGCAGACGGCGCTGATATATGGCGACAATAAGCGAAAAACAGAAACGAAAAACCAGAGCTTTGAGCCGAAAAGTGGGACATGTGATTAGAGGAGCGAGTGAAAGCGGGCAGCCATAGAAATGGCCAGGCAGTCTCTGGAAAACCCAACAAATGCGGTTGCCAAGTTATTTAGTTATTTAGAAAAGCACAGAATGCAAATGCAGCAAATGTGCCAATTTCCACATTTTCACAATTCACACACGCACACACACACACACGCACGCATATATACACTCGGAAAGAAAGCCAAACAAGTCTGTAGCAACAATTAAAAATCGGTGTCAAAATGCTAACGGTAAGAATTTTAAGTGCATTTCAAGGTTTCCGTATGCCGCGCATTAAGCATACGCAATGTGGCACGAAATATGTTGTTGCTCAAGCAACATTAATATAGCATTTTATAGCTGATGCGACTTATATTTATTCCACTACGCAGCCTTTTATAAATTATGCAAAATTATAATCAAAAAATTTCAGAACAATATGCACAAATAAAATATTATAATTTTTAATAGTATGAGCAAGTGTTTGCTATAGATGGGACTATCTAAAAGTGCAATCAAATCAATTTTCCCGTCTGAAAACGCCGATAGAGTGGGATGCGAAGTGGATTGAAAAATGTATTGATTGAAATCAACATTTCTGTGGACAGGAGCAGACTGCACTTGAGCCACAAACATCCATGTCTGGCGACAGCTCAACATCCATGTCTGTCAATCTACCTGTTGTCAAGAGGGCTTGGCTGTCTGCCATTGACTAAACGACATGTGCGCAATGTGTCAATAAACCTAAATCAAATGCTGCAGAAGCGACAGCTGAAAATTGTCAAGCTGCGAATTGTGCTTTGCAATAGACGAGGTGCTGGTCCTTAATCAAGCTATCTACGACTCAAAAAAATAAAAATAAATATATATATATATATTTAACGTATATACTTTTGCGGACTTTATAAGCAAAAAAATAACTAGCTAAACCACTAAAGTTACATATTTATCATCATTAGTGCATCTATACAGACTTTCAAAATGTAGTACCTTAATTATTTTAACATGTACGATTCAGATTTTCGATATACCCACACAGATAATATTTTATTTGATTTGATTTGATATTGTAAAAGTGTTATCAGCCTTGTTAATGTGTATGTTGAATGAATTATGTGTTGTAAGGCATTTTATAAGAGGTGTGATGGTCCTTGAAATTTTAATTTGTTATTGAAATTTGAAAATTTAATTCGTTTTGATCCCATGACTAGTTCCTGCGCCGTCCCCACAATCCGTTATTATTATCGTCAATAGTTTCATTGTTTTTATTCATAATGGGATTATTTTGGTTATCTTCAAAATGATTATCAAATGCAACCTATTCGGTAAATCGTAAAGCCCAACACAATAAAATTAAAATTGAAATAGTCTATAAGGCCCCAGTAAATACCTGATTGTTTGCAGCCGGTTCAGTATTTTCATCGTTTTTAGTTTTGTAATCTAGATAACCATTAGGTAAATGATGAATCGATATTAAAAACATGTAAATAACTTTTAAAATACCTTCGAAAACCACAAATGGTGAATTGTCCATTCCCAAATTTTTTGATCCATAGTCGTTGTTGCCGCCGAAACTATTTGGCATAGCCGGCATATATAAAGGTCTTTCCTGTTGCTGACGTCTCATTGGACCATCCTGACACATCAGGTGGCCATTCAATCCATTCTGAGAATAAAGCAAGGAGTCCGAACAGCTCTGATTGAACCCCATAGATTGTTCCTGGTTCATTTCCCAATTCGATTTAAAGCGTTCCTTATCGCGTTCACGCTTATTTAGCTCTATAAAATCATAATATTATTCTTGTTTATCTCAGATATATCCATAAATATTTCTCAGTGCATTGGTATACATACTCACCTTCACGCAAAAGTTCAGTTTCTCGCTCATAGCGAGCTATATTCAGCTTGGATTCGAGATCTTCTCCCGCCAGTTGTAGTTCGCGTTTGAGGGTAACTGTTGCGAAGCGATATCGATCATACAGCTCCATCCATTTGGTACCGTATTCGCACTCAAAGGAGTTGGGTTCAGCGAAACGCGGTCCAAGGCCGCGCTCTTGGTTGTACTTGCTGTTCTTGTTGAGGGATTTTTCCGGAAATCCGTCGACGTTCTCGGTCTCCTTTAGCTCCACCACACATGGACGCAATGAAGCAGTTAAAAAGAAGCATCTCTCCTGGCACATACGTAAACAGGTAGTCGCCGACGATTTCTTTGCAAACTCTATGGTGCCCTCGCCCATATGATTGCCACGATCGTCGACCGTAATGATGGCTCGCTCGACGGGTCCGAAAATCTCAAAGGACTTATAGAGTAGCTCGTTGGATACGAAGGGTGTTAAGTTGCTAACGCGCAAGACGGTTGCGTTGTTAGCAAAACGGACGCGTAGCGGGCGTCCATTTACTACTGTGTCGTCCAAGGCACGCTTAGCCTTTTCAGCATTGACATAATAATCAACTTTGACAAACGCATACTTCTTATCGGGACTCAAAAAAACCTCGCCCAGTTCGCCATACGGCTTGAACAACTCATGCAATCCGTCAATATTATGAATATCAGTCAAATTTCCAACATAAAGACGATTGCGTCCGGCAAACCTTAACTCCTCACGCTCCTCCATCGTTTCTATCTGAATAGTTGGACCGCTAAGGCTGCGCAGCTTTTGAATTACAGAATACTCATCACCACGGTGCGAATGATTATTGTAGTTATTGGAGCCGCCTGAAAAACGTCCGCCTCCAGCACCACCACCATAACCTCCTCCCCCACCACCACCGCCATAACCTCCTCCCCCACCACCACCGCCAAAACCTCCTCCCCCACCACCACCACGTGACCCACGGTACTTGCCGCGTGCCTCTTCTTGACCTTGACCTATGGGGGTGCTGGCCATACATTCACGAAATGAGATTGCCTGACCTTGGTCTTGGGCTTGTCCTTGAGCTCTATTTGAGTTTTTTCCACCCATTGATAAAGGTCCATTAGAGTGCAGTTGCTATACGCGATGTAGAAAATGAAAAAGAAACTCATTTTATAAACATACTATCAAACATATATGTATAAGTTTAACTAGATGCGCTTCAGTTGGCTACGAAATGTGTAATTCATTGAAGAACTTATATTCCATTAAGAATTTCTCAAATTTATTTAAAGCGAACACTAAAATGGCAAAACAATAACATTTGATTGCATATGTGCAGTCCTCCCTCCTGTACCGTAATTTGTAATTATGTACTTACATTGTCTTTATCCATGTGGTAGATGTTGTCTCCGCGAAGGCGTTTACGTGATTTTTTCGGTGCGTTGCCATCAATTGCATTATTGAAGACCTCTGCATTGCGCATTCCATCCCTATTTGTATTTTCGTTAGCGGATGGCACAATTTGCAAGTCATCCAAAACTACAGAAGTCTCCATGCTCACAGCAAAAATACACAAAATTAAATGAAACTTGTACAATTGATGCTTCCTAGTTGATTTAGAGAGATCGAATGATGATTTCCGATGCCATTAGCTCTCAACTGACAATGACAAAGCCTACTGTGTTTGTCAAAAATGGAAATTCAATTCGATATATCGATAATTTCATATGATTTTTATATTTTTATATTTTTTTGATATTACAAAATACTCAAAATACTAGCCCTTCCTGGTCTAAAAAGTGTTGGATACGTTAAATACCATTTGCAGTTACCGTGACTATAAGTCACGTTACTGTTATTTTCACTGTTTTGTTGCCTGTCAGCTATGCTCAGCTAATTTATAGGTATTCAACTCTACCTCAGTATTTAACTTAATGTTAGACGTGTCAATCAGACTTAGATCAGACACCTTTGTAAAGATTGACATAGAAAAGAATTCAAAAGCAAAAAGGAAACATACCTTGTAAAATTAAGAAAATACCAGTTTAGATAGTTTTCACAATATAAAAGCAACATGTCTTGGCTAAATCCATATCAACGTTATCTTGATTTGCTGTGCAAGTTAAATCCACATGGAAAGACTTGTGAGGCCCATATGAGAGCACAGCATCCCGAGTGTTTTCAGACCCCCTCAAAAATTGGTTTCATTTTGGAAATACCACAAAAGTTTTATCGTATATTCGTTGGCAATAGTTGCGATAATATGCAACCGGCTTACTCGGTGTTACTTCAAGAACATGAATCCTCAATAATTGGGACTATATGGAAATGTTTGGTATTGCTTGCGATCAGCATCGGAATCTTATATGCTATTCTCAAATTGTCAGCCCACAGACGAGCATCGCTACAGTGATTACAAGCAAGGAACTCTAATAATAATCCCAAATCATTATAAACTATTAGAATCATCACATAATATTCTTCATATGTACTCAAACTTACATCAACCACTGTGTGTACTCAAATCCATCAAAATTTAATAAAATATCGAATTGTATGTAATCAAAATTTAAACTCAATTCAATTGCTTTGAAGTAAGAACAAGAAAACCAAGAGTTAAACTTTATTTTGAGCACATTTGTGAGGATCCAAAAGCCAACCACACACTGTCAAATGAGAGTGTTGTATTATATACAAGTATATAATTAATAAATTCAATTGTCGTTCGGTACTTGCTTATTTTGCCATATGGTTATTGCTCTTATATAAATTGTTAAATGTGGCAACAAACTCTTTAAACATGTGCATATAAATATATATTTGCATATTCTGTAACCTACCGTCACATTATTCCAGCTTCAAGTTACTTTGACTTGTTAAGTTGTTTTTGCAACAACAGCAGAGTTGCCACATGGGCCGGCACTATTTTAATTTGGCTGAAACTCGGGAGAGCGCAGCTAAAGGGCATTCTGTCGGTGGAGCTAGAATTAGTTCGTGCAACGTCTGCTGCTCCAGCTACTGGCATGTTCTGGGCTCTGTTGTCTGTTAACCACAATAATTTATGCCTTTGAGTCGTGTTTGAGTCAAAGCCTTTTGTGTGGGTGTGCGGCAGTGTCCATGTGTCTGTCTATGGGTGCACATCATTTTACCTATTAAAGTAAAACACCAACAACGCTTATCATTACAAGCATCACCATTGCAGGCAGCCACCACTACTACCACAACAGAAGCAGAAGCAGCAGAAGCAGCAGCAGGAATAACAGCAACAAAAACAATAATTATGAGCGCTGCGCTGCGTTGCGTTGCGCATCCTTTCGTCGACGCCATTTTGTTTAGTTTATGCTTTGTGTGTGTGTGCGTGTGTATGTGTCTTCGCCTCGCACTTCCTAATGCAAAAAAGGAGACTTTTCAGCACACATTTTTAGCAAAATTAAAATATTTATGTTGGCGACGTGCTTAATGCCGTACTGCTGCTGCTGTCGTCGACGCCCATGATATTTGGCCCAGCCCCTCGCTTACAGTCCGTCTCCTCGCAAAACGGCAACTCTCTGCCAAGCACTCTGTTTAGCTTTGGATGTGTATGTGTTGTTTTACGTGCGTGTCCATGATTATGGCCAGCTAGCTCTCTCTCTGTATGTATGGCATACACTTTAAAAAGGCATTTTATATGTGTCAGAAGGTTAGTTGGGCATATAAGCAAGGACTACAGAGATAACTCTATAGCAATATTAATATAGTCTCTGCTATAACCGCTTTTTAAAATTAAAGTAAATAAAAATAATAATAATTAATTGTCACCCTTGCAAGCCAACCTTAAAGCTTTTGATATAATTCTTCAGATTGATTTTCTTATATATATATTATTTTTTAGGGTATCCGTAAGTTCCCATTGTCAAAAATGTACCCTTTCATTTCAATGTTGCCGTTAAACAAAAGTTGATGCTTTTCTGTAAAACGAGTGCTCCTCCTTACCTGTGCTCCCCTCACCACTTGCCGCATTCATCTATCCAAAGCAACATGATGATGATGCTGCCACTTACTATTCGCGCTTTAGCAATATCATTTTGCTGTGTGTACGCTGAGCAGCAATATAACTTCAATCCCTTCACGCCGCATGCAACTCGCCAACACTTTTTTTGACGCTGAATATTAAAAACAATATATTTTACCGTTTAGCTGGCATTCGCTTGTCCTATAGAAATTCTGTATTTTGAGTAAAGCTGTAGGTCGCGGAAATACTGCGTGCATTTCGTTTAGCAAATTAATTACATTAAACTCGGGTTTATTTGTATTTTTATGTCCAAATTAAATGAATTTTTTAAAGTGTCATTAGGGGCGCAGGAGGAAACCACAAAAAAATAAGAGGAAACGATGGAGCTGCAAAAGGGAAGTAAAAGTAAATTAAGCACAATTCCTTTACAATTCCTCTGGCGTCACTTGGACAAGTTGTTTGGAACCTTTTTTCCCTTTCGCACATCCATTTCAAGCTTTCTCTCTTACTCTCTCATTTACTTTCTCTGCTTTTTACATCCGCCTGCCGACTGTTTCTTAGTAAACGCGCTCAAATTTATGGCTATTTTGGGACCGGTCGCAGCATCCTTAAATTTTAGGCCTTCATTGTGGGTTTATCGGGTTGTGATATTCTCTACCCACAATTTTTAAATTTAAACAAATGCGTTTCTTTTGGAAAAAAAAGTTTTCTAGTTCATCTTTACAGGCAGACATTGCATAAAAACATTATATTAATTCTTTGCCTTTTGGGAACTGAAAAAAAAAAATATGAATTTCAAATGAAATTCTAGCTTTTGCTGACTGCATACATTTTCTTCAGAGTTCAAAGCACATCTAACTTATTCAGCATTTAGTTGATGTTATTTTCACTTTAACAAGTTGCCTCTAATAGGTGACCTGTTCTGAGCTTATTAATGCAATAAATCATCATTGAATTTTTATGTTGCACATATCGCAAGTAGACAGACACAGTTGCTTCATGTTGTTCGTGTATCGTTAAGCAACTCTTTTCGAGCTCTTGGCAATTTTACACTCGGATGCGTTTAATTTCATTTCTCCGTATCTATGACACATGGCAAATAAGTTACATATAAGCCACGTAGTGCCGTCAGAAACAGAAAAGAAAAGTGGCAAGCAAAATTGAATTCCATAACATAGTGAACTGCAAAACAGATGTCCATCTGTGAGTTCAGCACATCACAGATATAAACTAAATTGCAAAAGAAAAAATGTGTGCCAGGACTCAAAGGCCAAAACGACTGGGAGTATGGGAAATAAAACGGAAATTAAGCAAAAGCAACGATGTTGAACTCTTACTGAGCGGAAATAGTTGAAATATTCAATAGGAAATTTACAAAAATCGAACAAAAATAGAAGAAAGTAAAACCAAAGCGAAAGATGTGGAACTGATGGAGGGAAAACTCTCACTAACTGAATGCAGTGCAGTGCAGTGCTGTGCGCTCGTTAAATAATATTGTTTTGTTTTTATTTTCATGGGTCACACGATGCAACTTAAATTTAAACAACTAAAAGCTTGTCTTTCACAACACTCACTCACAAACACACGCACGCACACACATTTGGACGGACGGACAATGCAAGCGCTGCACAAATTCCCAAAACTAAACCGTTGCGAAAAACAACAGAATCCAAACCGAAATCGAACGCGTAACCTAAACCAAACCCATGCCAGGAATGATGGAGAGTGTTTTGTGTCGGTTAGGCTTCGACCGCATTTCGTACAAATATTGACACATGTGCTGCTTCAGGGGATGGGAAGGGGCAGAGGGTGGGGGCGTGCCGCGTGTGATAGTTGAGGGGACAGCCGGCAAAAAAAACCACAACCCATGCCAAACGCTGTGGCCATTAGATGATTTATAGGTCAGTTCGCGGACCCAGTCAGTATTTCGGCTCAAATAAAACAAAGGCGAAATGAACAACAGCTGCATCGATTGTCAGCCAAGGCGTAGAATCTATTCTATCTTTTCCGTATTCCACTCCTGCCCGACCTCTGGACAGCAAGAATCTACAAGCGGTGTTTCAATTTGAGCGTCATGTTCCACAATTGAATCGAACAGTCGGACAAAGATTGCACTAATGAAAAATACTCAGAATGTTGTATTGCAATGACTCTCGATACTCGATGTGAAAGCGAACTACTTTCAATTGCATTCTTTGCTATTGCAAGACACGAACTATTTCACTTGGGAGCAAATAGAGCATTTTGTGAAATTTAAATATTTAATACTTTAATTTTAACATTTATTTCTCAAATCATCTCGAGTCGATGGAAAGAAATTATGCTTGCCGGGTCATAGTTCTTTAAGCAAATAAATAAATATTGCATAAAGCATGTCTAGAAATCATTTCACAAAACAAAAGATATAATTATGACAAAGGTTTGAGCAAGGGAAAACTAGTTTTAATTATTCAAACTATTCATATCTGTTTTGCAATTCCATTATCAACATATGGTTCCCCAAGTGACAAAACCCTTTTCTACACACTCGCACAGACATAACCAAACAATTTAAAACTATATTGTGTGTGGAAATTGGAATCGGTATTCGCAGTGCTAAGT